TTCATCGAATAACATTCTATATCTTTTCAAAACCGTCTATCATGCAGACGTTTGGAACATCGAACAAGCTGATACGATCTTTGATCGATTCGATCGTAAACATATATGGACCGGTGTTCATAAATCGAGTTCATAAAGCACAAGTTCTGCTATAGCTTGACCTAAGTCGTTCTTCCATGTTCTTAGATGTTCACCAGGACCAGGTGTCACTCACTGTCATTCACTGTTCACTCCTAGAACTGCTTGGCTCTTCGGAACCGTTGGGGGTCACACCACGCACAGCCGGGCGGGGCGTTCAGGCTCGTCACTAGCGCTGGAATCTGGCGAACGCTGCGAGGAAGGGGCAGTGGAGACCGAGAAATCCATGAAATGTTTTACTAGTAGTAACAAAAAGCTATTAGAAACAAGTGCCACGCTAGTAGTAACAGGTGCCACGCTAGTAGTAACAAAAAGCTATTAGAATTAAAATTAAAGTAAATTTAATAGCTTCTTGTTACTACTAGTAAGGCACTTGTTACTACTAGCGTGGCACTTGTTCCTAATAGCAAACATTGTTACTACTAGTAAGGCACCTGTTACTACTAGCGATGCACTTGTTACTACTAGTAAATAAAAATATACATCATGAATCAGGATACATTGAAAAGGGAGGCCACTGAATAGGGACTCAAGTCATTTTCACACCATTGGACCATGCAGGGTAGGATCTCTATGAACAACCTGGTGCTTTTTTCGTGAGATACCCTTGCGTTTTGGAAAAGGCATGCCACTTACACCATGCTTATGCTCTCTCTCCGTCACCACCCTCCTTGCTCCCCGAAGTCACGACGAGCGCGTTCTCGGTCCGACGGGAAGCCGGAAATGTTGGGCTTGGGGGATAGCTGCTTGGATACAACCCAAAATAGCATGATAGGATCATGATCTATTCCTATACTATAGCATACTGGTTATCTTTGTGTAGATCGAAGCTGCGTAGTATTGGCATCGTTTTGTACGCAAAGAGAACGACCTAGAACGACCTGAAGATACGGACCGGACCTGACGTGCGGCCGGGAACAAGCCCGTTCGGCATTGGTTGGCATTGACCGCCATACAGGGAACAAAGCCACACAGCCACACGGCCCTTTCATTCAGTGGCAACATACATTGAAATTGGGGAAAGGTTCAGCAATCTGATCCTTTGATGTCCTTCTTCCTTCGTCTCCCTTGCTATGGCATCGCAGTTCAACGCAACCCCAAAGGCTGCTGGGAGCTCCGCGCTGGTTGATCTTCTCTTGCACCCCTCCTTTGATCCCTCGAACCTGGACGAACAAAAAGAAACGCTTCACGCAGATGGTGGAAAATGCCGAGTCAATGACGCGCGTCAACGACGCCGCAAACGACATGGAAGTCAACCAGAAAATGGAGGTGAACAAGAAAAGCACGGAAGAGCAACTGGAAAGGTCGCAGAGACGCTTTTTCGTCACAAAAGAAATTGATGAAAAGCCGGATGCGAAATCAACGTGTTTGCGAAGTCCATGTGTGACGTGTGCCTAATGGATGTCTATTAGGTCATTGAACTGGGGAAAATGAGGTGGGCTGGTCACTTAGGGCAATGGCTTTGTGGTTGAAGCGACCCAATGGCGGCACCGTTTTGACTCGGATGGTGATGGATTCTGGTGCACAAGTCCAATGAAATCTGGTAATCTGCACAACATTTTTGAGCATATAACATTGTGTCTGTATAGGATGCAAATCAAAAACAAGGCCAAGGAAATACAACCAACCTCATGTCCTGGGCATCCTCGGCCACCTCAGCACACCGTGTTTGGGGGTATGAGCAGGGTGCCTTGGAGCCTCCTAATCCCTACCTTCCAAGGTTTCGATAGACGTTGGATTCGGACGTCTCTTCAATGTCGATCACCCAACACGTTGGATGAACACCTGTCGACATGCGCTGCGCACGTGGGATGAACACCTTCAACGCCTCACGCGTCAACCCGTCAACGCCGCGCACGTCTGTGCCACCCCACTGAGGCTGACATGTCCCAAACCTGACCATCCTGGGAAAGCGCAGCGGAGTGAACCAAAAGGCCGACCAGGCTAAACTGCTTTTTGAATGGTCAGAAACTGTGTTTTTTTTGATGAGAAACTCAGCTCATGCTTGATGTGTAGATGCGACTAGAGGTTGTCCTGCCGGTGCCGTCCCGCTTGGATGTCGACCCGAAGGAGTCGTCCCGGTTGGACCCAACCAACGCCGGTCGCGCGGCGGCAGTGGTCGACCGTCGAAACGTCCAGAAACGTCTTCAGACCTGAGGGATACTGAGGGTCTTCATGAAGATGCATCCGATGCCAAAGCCTTATGATCATCAAACGCTTTCTGATTTGCAGTTCCGCTCATCCTTTGGTTCAGAGTTGCTCCACTATGAGGTCACCATGATACCTTCCCTCATGCAAATCTGAAGTGTTAACCTGGGGAAATTAAAATACGTTAAGTCAATACTGACAATTGCAAGCGACATGCCAAGTTCACTCAAGTTCACAGTCTTCACAGTCTTCACCTACCAAAAAATATGAAGAGTTCACTCAAGTTCACCAGTGAAGAATTCCCTCAAGCCAATCACCTCAACACTTCTCATTCGCGCCGTGCTCGCGCCTTGGGCGCGTTCTCGAAGACCACCTTTCGCCGGTTCCGTCCGCGGTCGGATCTCAGAAATCTTTCGATGTCCTGAAGTCCTGAAGGTCTCAGAAATATGTGGGACTATACATCAAAGAGATGAAAGAATCCAAGATCCCATGGCACTGTCAAAGACTTAGATCTTAGATTCATTCGATTCTACATCGTACTCGTAGATTGCCACAGATTTGTTCTCTTGGAGTTCGACGACTGTTCTCCTTTCGTTCTCACGACTCGGTGGCTCGAGTGCTCACCCATGACCGGCCGTCCCGAAGTCTTTCGGAAAGGAACCGGCGAGACGTACCGGCGGAGGTCCCCCTACGACTCGATGGAAAACATGGTCATCACGCTAAAAAAGAATGCTCACAAGAAGACACATCTTGCTGGATGGCCAACCATCGTTGCTTTCTCTGGTGGCGTGGTCATCCATGTCATGAGTCATGAAATGTGGGTTTCTGGTGCTTTGGGGATATGCTTTGGAGGGAGGAGAGCAAGGGTTCCGTTCCTTCGCGATTCCATGGGGTGTTCTGTTCGGGCGCCGATTCGGACGCACATGTGATTCGGACCCCATGCCCCACGTGTTCGCTCTAAAAATGGGCGGCCTCCCGACCGACCGGTCCGACAGCTGGGAGATCCCTCCCACTCTCGGCTCCGAAAGCTCGGAGGGCTTCGTGTCGCTCTCAAGTCAACCCTTTGATGCGGTACGCAGGTAACCGCAGGTACGCAGTCACACCCCAAAAACGGATGAAAGATGATGAAAGCGATTCCAATTCAATCATGAGGGAGGGTCACTGTGACCTGTTCCCCTTAGTGTTGCACCCAGCAAGGGCTTGTTTAGTGCAGCAACGCCTGTTCAGTTTGTAACGTCAGTGTTGCACAATAACAACCACCTTGCATCGTCTGCATCCAGTGGGAATGTTTCTTTGGATGTAAACCTTCATGTTTGGAGGGCCCCAATGGGCTTCATACTTCTCCCTGGTTTCTTACACCCTTGACAAGTTTCAAACGCTTTTGGGTTTGAGTGGGTCTCTATGATAGATCTCTCTATGACGCGTCATCCAAAAAGCAAAAACGACAAATCCAGCACGGTCGCAGCGTCCAAGGCCCAGAATCCGCACCTCTCCCGCCTGTCGAGCTCGAAGGCTCGCCGTGAGGCCTAGTGGCATTCGGAGGGAGGGGGGGCGAAAGGTTAAAAGGGGAGAACTGGAAGGTCTTCCCTATTTGGAGATGTTGAATAAAGGCAGGAGTTTCTCCCTCCAAATGGGGGGTCAAAATTGCATTGAACAGATCCAAAAGCATCCCCAAATCCGGCTCGGGTGAGGCGGATTAAGGGTTTTGTCATGTTTTCTCTCTTTACCTTTGGATACCTTGGGCGACTGTGGAATGCCATCGGGCAAAATCACCCGCCTGGGCCTTTTTAAAGTAACAAATTGGAATGCCGGGCTCCTGTTCATGCGCTACTAGGAGCAAGGACGCTACTAGGGGCACTCCTGGCCTTGCTACTAGTAACAAGAAGCTACTAGTAACAAAGGGCATCGCTACGATCGGAGCAAGAAGCTACTGATTCCGCTTGATTCCCAGATGAGATCAAATGTAGCTGGAGGGCGTATCTTTCGGCAGAGGGTGTACTGTTCTCTCCCAGGTCCGAATGAACATGGAAACACATCAACCCGCTCAACTCCAAACGGTCCGAACGGTGCGAAGGTCGCTCGCCGCCCTGCCGCCTGCATCGCCCACCTCGGACGACCAGGCGGCCGCCTCCTCGGTCTGTGGAGCGATCGATCCGCCCGAGGCGCCCGGGTGCGAGAAAGGTCTGTCGACACCTTGCTACCGGGTCGGTGTTCCAACACAAACATCACCGAACCGGGTTTCTGAAAGGGAAGCGGTGTTCCCAGCGGCCACATCCTCGGTTTGAGAAAAACACTCTCCGCCATGTGGCCCGGGCAAAGAACAGGCCGACAGCTACCCTCTGTGATCTCCAGAAGTATGGGTTCCAATTTGTACAGCCAATATACAACATGTCTTGAAAAAAAGAAGTGATTTAAGTGATAATGTGAATAATGTGTTACATTGTGTTACAAGCCTCTGTAGAATTGTTGCATGGTCGATGTACCTCTTGGGTAAATGACTTCAGAGTCTATGTTAGTCTTTTCGAAGGTCGTTTCGTCGAGGCGAGCAGAATTTGGGGCACACGAGTCAATACCAAAAAAGCATCAAAAAGCGTTGTATCCCTGTATTATCCCTGTATTGGAAAGCGCTTCTATCTTTTTTTGGGGGTCACAAAAAAAGAAGCCCAAAAACGCGATGAGTTCGGCTCCGAACACTCACACTGTGTTCCTTCTCGTCACAGCGGTTCGTAGGAACGAAGCAGCACTTGGCCAATGGCAATTTCCCGCAAGCTGCTGGGAAAGTGGCCTTCGAATGTCTCAAAGGACTCGCCCAAGATCAGGGTCTCCAGGCGACTGGGCAGCGTGACAGCTCTCAAAGTCTGATTGAAGTTCAAGCCAAATTTCAGGGTCTTCCTGAGATCCGATCGAGTTTCCATTCAAAATCTACACTCCAACAGTCAGATGGCACTCCAAGGGCTTAGGTAGAGGACTTTTCTGAGAGGCCACTTTCATGTTGTTGGGGAGGGTAGAAAATGACTGACAAAAGACCATGAAAGGCACCATTCGCACCATTCCCTCCCCAAATGTTGGGGTTGTAGGCTTCTGGAGGATTCCGTAAGCAAATAATAAAACATCTGGAAGATAAGCACTCGCAGGCTTCAGGTTGCTGGGTAGCGTAACATCTGCCAAGCTCTGATTAAAGGATTCGCCAAAGATCAAAGTTTCAAGGCTCTCGGGGAGCATCGCGTCTGCCAAGGGTTGGTTGAAGGAATCGCCCAAGGTCAAACTGCGGAGATTCTGCGGCAACTCTACACCTTGCAAACTCTGGTTGAACCTGCTGCCGAAGGAGAGAGTTTGTAAGCTGCTTGGTAGCATGACACCCTCCAAGCTCTGATCAAAGAAATCATCAAAGAGCAATTCCTCAAGCTCGACTGGCAGCACGACACCTTCCAAGCTTTGATTAAAAGAAGTTCCAAAAATCAATGCTTTCAGTGAGCTCGGCAGCTCCACATCCACCAAACTCTGGTTGAAATTCCCACCGAACTCCAAAACCTGCAAGCTGCCGGGTAGGATGACTCGCTCCAAACGTTGGTCAAAGCGTTGGCCGAAAAACAACATCTTCAAGTCGCTTGGCCAAACCACATCTTCTAAGCTCTCATTGAAACCATGTAGCAAAGTCAAAGTCTCAAGCTTTGGAGGCAGCGAAGCTGGCAATCTGGCGACTATGCGCCCCAAACACAAATGCTGAAGAGTACTTGGAACATTTTCCAAGCTTTGATTGAAGAAATCGCCAAAACTCAAGGTCTCTAAACTGCTCGGGAGGATCACGTCCGTCAAGCTCTGGTTGTAAACCTCACCAAAGCCCAAAGTCCGGAGGTTCCTTGGCAGTGTGACACCAGCCAAACTCTGGTTGTAATTGTCCCCAAAAACCAGGCTCTGTAAGCTGCTTGGTAGCTGAGTTCTTCCTGCCAAGCTCTGGTTGAACATCGCTCCGAAGGTTAAACTCTCCAGGTTGGTGGGGAAGATCACATCTGCTAAGCTCTGGTTGAAATCCCAGCCAAAGGTCAAAGTCTGCAGGCCACTGGGCAGGGTGACGCCGACCAAGCTTTGGTCGAAATAAGCCCCAAAGTTCAAAGTCTGCAAGCTGTTGGGCAGCACGACACTTGCCAAACTCTGGTTAAATTTCACGCCAAAGTTCAAAGTCTGCAAGCTGCTGGGCAGGGTGACTCCTTCTAAGCTCTGATCAAAGCGTCCGCCAAAAGTTAAGATCTTCAAACTGTCTGGGAGTTGAACACCTCTCAAGCTCTGGTCAAATTCGTTGCCGAAGGTTAAAGTCTGCAAGCTTTCTGGCAGATTGACATCCTGCAAGCTTTGGTTGAAGGAAAAGCTGAAGGTTAAATTCTGAAGGCTGGCCGGCAAAGGCACAAGTTTCAGGCTCTGGTTGAAACCACCATTAAAGATCAAAGTCTCCAAGCTGTTGGGCAGCTTGAAGCGATCCAAGTTCTGGTTAAAGCTTTTGCCAAAAGCCAAGGTCTTTAGGCCAGTGGGGAGTCTGATCCCTGTCATCCGTCGGTCGAAATTCCAGCCAAAGGTCAAGCTTTCCAGGCTCTCTGGCAGAGTGACACCCGAGAGGCTGCGGTTGTATTTCTCGCCGAAGGTCAAGGACTTTAAGTTGCTGGGCAAGCGAACACCCTTCAATCCTTGGTTGAAATCGAAGTTGAAGTGCAATGCTTCGATGGCATTGAGGGCATCCAAATCTCTCACTAACCAGGGCGGACCCTGTGTGTTTTGAGGATCATCTGCCCGATCTTCCTCCAAAGCTCGCTTGAAACTCCTGGCTGCCTCACCTGCTCCAATCTGCATGGCCACGTAACTCACCTCCTCATCACAGAGCCTCAGATCAGGAGTCACCAAGTTCATCTATCGCCTTTCCTCCGTCTAATCCGACGTGTGCTGCCATGTCCGGTGTCCGCGGGTGTCTGTTGTGTGGATAGTGGAAACACTGTCACGTGGTGGGTACTGAGTCGAGTAATTATACATATATCACAATATATATATATATATATACACAGTATAGCATAATGATATATCCAAATGTTGTTTTCTTGTTCATGAATGTTCTCCTATTTCGTTTGGGACCTGTATTTTAAAACTTGATGAGCTTTCGGAATGTCCTCACAGATGTTTGTCACAAGGATGTCCGCTCTACATTGGGCTTCAACATTTCGTTTGTGTTCGAAACTCCAACAGTACAAAGCTCAACCAAAAAGAACACCCTGCACAAACATCTAGACCTGGCCTTACAAATCCAAACCTGTGGGTGTTGGCTCCAAAGATGAGGCACTGGACTATACTGGACCTCCCATTTTTGAGGTCAATCACTCGCCCCCTTGAGCTGGAAGCTCTATACTTGCAGCTGGAAGCTGTGGTCGAAGATCTTGAGACTCATCCAGCACTTGACTGCCCGAGGTCAAGACCAAAGTTCGCCCGGGTTTCATGAGCTTAGCCTGGATCTCTTGCGACAGATCTCTGACCTTGGTGGTGGTGGTGGCGGCGGCGGCAGTACTCGTTGTTGTTTGTGGTAATTTTGCTTCATCTGCACAAATGGGGCTGTTGTCTGACCTGCTGCACTGGTTTGCGGTATGCAGTCTGGTTTCAATGGCCCATGACCTGCAGTGATAGCAAAAACAGGTTGAGACAGTCACGGGCATGTCATGTCCCGATGTCGGTCCTTCAGATCTCTTCAGTTCAAGGCCTCTGGCCAGCCCAGCCCGGGGCAGGGAAGCTGACTGCTGGAAGGAGGGTCAGTGATACATCTTAGCTGGAGTATGAGAAGGGGCACTTGGGGTTGAACCGATCACTTTTGGGGTGCTCAGGATCAAAAGTTTCCGCTGAGCCGAGCCGACCTGCGTCATCGAATCCACAAGACGCCATGGTCTAGGAAGGCTATTGCTCACGACTGGTATCGTTTAGTCACAATTCCTCAAAGGCTGTTTGACAGACAGCTCAAGATGATCGGAAGTCTTGAAAGTAAGAACACTCTTCCAATGAATTCGTCTGCAAATCATAGAATGCAAAAGTTCTGTTGAATGGAGACATCTTCTTAGAAACAAACACGATAACTTAGGAAAATGACATCACCACCGTTGGGACCCTCGGACATAACAAAATCCGCCCGCGCCCAAGGTGCAGTTCGCATAAGCCGCTAGAATGGCCAGATCACTCATTAAGCTTTAGCTTGGGGGAAGCTCTTTTGCTCTAGAATGCTGGATTTCGAAAGCAGGTCATTGGCGATGTCGGTTACGCTGCCCGAGTGAGTGTGCATTATTGACATCGTGTGTGTGCTTCCCCGGTGGCCTTCTCGAGTGAGAAACGCGAAAGCTATTGATAGTGTGATCTTTGCTGCCCGAATGGAATTGCATCATTGAAAGCGTGCGCGTGCGATGGTCAGTGCTGCTGCTATACTAACCAATACTGGCACCCCACACGGTTCCCTCTGCAGAACTAACGCAGATGTTCATCCTACACTCGGTCTTTCTTACTTGCAACTGACCCTGCGTTCACCTCGTTGTTTCCATGACCATCTTTTCCTCACAGTAAACTTCTTCGGACCATTTGAGCCCTGCATCGTTCTTTCCTGGCTCAGAGAGCACAAGTATCCATGCGGGCGGTCTTCGCGGCGAAGCGGTGTGAACATCATCAGATCCTTTTCGCATCTTTTCGCCACAAATCAGGGACCTGGTTTCATTGTTCTCACTTCTTGTTCATCATGACAGCCAGGCTGCTCCCGCATCATGAGCAACTTGAAGCTGGAATGTGTTGCCATCGAGCCCAGCTCGAATGGTCACTGTCATGGGCGGCGCGCGGTCGTCAGCGGCACTCGGCCCTGCCCTGACCGGGATGACCAGTCGTCCCGCCGGCGCGACGCTGGACTGGGCGAAGGCCACCAAGCTGGTGATCAACCTGAGTGAAAGAATGAAGCTTCGTGTGAAAGAGCATCAGACATGAATAGAGAGCTGGTAATCACATGTAATCACCACATCCTTGAACATCGTGATACATATTATATAGTATGTATATACAAATATACCAGCTTCTTCAAAGTGACCTTTTGAAGGTTCCTGAGTGACCCTTAGGAGGCTCAAGAGACCGAACCAACCAGGTTATCAAGCACGGTCACTTATATATATATATATTACTTGAGAGCCATGAGCGATCCAACCGTGATGATGCCATGTACCACAACTGGGTTCCGCATGGGAGGTCGCGAACGGCTTCGAACGCTTATTCGCTTTCACCGGAAGGAAAACACCGGTCAAACCGGTGAAAGCCTTTTGAAAGCCAGCCAAAAGCCTTCACATGTGCCTACTATAACTAATTAGTCTCCAAAAAGGGCAGTAGCAAATCGCAAAATCAACACTTGTAGTCACCCATTTTATAGATAGAAGTCGAAGTGCAAGTCCTCTGTTGCAACGCCTTTTGGTGTGCAACGAACATCCAAGATATGAATCTGGATGGCCCTATCTACTCTGTGATCAAGTGGGACACCTTTTGCAAAACAAACACAACACTTCGAGGCATCCAGCCGCAAACAAGCCGTGCACACAAACCACACCCCCGGAGCTGGCTTGGGGAGGCGAAGGGTGAGGCCACGGTGGATGGTTTAACCAAGGCCTTTCTCCAAAAGAGTGAGAATCCTTTATTGACTGTTACAGGCAATAGGATACCTCAAACTGGGATAGTGGCAAAACGACTATGCTCCCTCTTCCTCAGTCGACGAGCGACTGAGAATTAGCCAAAAACAAACGAACCCGAAAGGTCTAGCAGGTCTCTCCTACCATTGGAATTTGTTCTTAGCGTTTTCCAGCTCATCAACCGATTTTCTGCACCACAAAGCGAACTTCCCTGGTTCACAACGGCCATGCTGCTCATCATCGGAGTGATCCGGCGAGCTCGCCCCACGCGTGCGCAGGGTGGTCGCGCCGCAGCCCATGGCGCAGGAGCCAGGAAGAGGTTTGTGGGATGTTTTAGATCAATCGCTTCTAGGGTGGAGGCCATCGCTTCTAGGGCGGAGGCCATCGCTATTAGGTTGGTAGCTAGTCCAACAATGTTCTTGTCACTGTCACTGCACTCCCCGTGGGAAACCCAAACATCTGTGGGGGTCAAGCTTGTATCGTCGGCATAACCTAGTTACCTGGTTAAGCTGCAATAGGAATTCTGGTGTATGTTTTTGCAGTGTTTAGTCTCAGTACACCTCACAGGCAGTATCTTCAGATCAGGAACGTAGTGATCAGGTTTCGCGTTCGTCGCCGATCAAGGCAGATTGCACATACTCTGGGCCCCCCCATTGGTCTCAGCCTTGGCAGCCATGGTCTCTATTCCACTTGCACTCGGAAAAACCCAAAATCGCGTGCCTTGACACTGGATGTAACTTTGGATCTGAACTGGAGCGTCTTGAACCGTTTGAACATTCCTGACACCGCGATGCCTTTTGGCACTTGTCCACTGAGGCCTTTTGGTGACTTGTCTTTTTGGGCTTGGAGCTGGGCCACATCGCACGGGCCACAAATGCTTGTCTGGGCGATCTGCCCCTTTCTCGTGCGTTTCGCAATAAAGAACAAAACGTCTATATACTTGTTCAATCATGTATATAGCTTCGCAGTGCTCTTGAGCAGAAACTATGGAGAGATTCCAGCGGCCAACGATGTCACTTGTCTCTGTCATAAAACGCAAAATCACCTGCGATGCCTCAAGCAAAGTCTGACACTTTGCTTGGTGAATTCTGCAAGGCAAATTCACAAAAAAAAGGATCTTCACAGTTGATTCAACTGGAACCAAGTGCAAACATCCATGGCCTGTCCAAGTGTCATGGTATCAAATGGTAGGGCCTAGAAACACACAAACAGTTCCAGGAAACCAACACCTAAGCATGTTTGGACATTTGTGGCTAATGCCCAGTGCCATCTTGACATAGCTTCTCGCAACTGGCCATAGAATGTTGAAATCGGATAGGTTTTCCGTTCGTAGCCTCCTATCGGATCCGTTCGTAGTCAGGCCAGCAGCCCCGACTACGAAGCGATTCGAACGGTGCAAAGTCTCGCCCCCACCGCTACCGCTCGCAGTGACTGCGCCATGTGGCCGGTTCCAGGGGCGAAGACGGTGGAGTTCCTGGCGAATGGGAGCCCCCCCGCTGCCCGATGGGTTTTTGATGGACAATCTGGTCTGTGATATAGCCATATCCTAAGAAAATTAGATCACATCGTTGTCAGTGATCTGAAGTCAAATCACAATGGGAGTGGAAAGCTAGCTTTTGTGTGGTTGAATCGACAACACGTGACTCAGTCAGTAAGGCAGTCTTGAAAAACAACACCAAGCCTGTAATATCAGAGCTTCAATCACACGCTGTCAACAATGGTCCACAGCAAGCGCTTGATTCTTCCATGCAGTCTTCACACATTAATATTAACACGATATTCCATGTAAACAACATAATATGTAAATGAATGTAAATGACATTTAAAGACTATGTAAACTCCGAAACTCGGCTTCAACATCAATTTGCCGAAAAGGTCGAGCATCTGACATGTCAGGGATGAAGCCGTTCTCCAGGATTCACTTGTCCAAGCCCAACTCCAGGAACATACTATACAGATCCATGATGTTCCGAACCAAAAACCGGGAAACCAAGAAAAGCGCTTAGTACAAACCGGTGTTGCTGGCATGGCATAAGACGCCACCGCCCATTCCTCACGGGGTTGGCTTGGCTTGGTGTGAAAAAGCTGAAAGAGGTGCGGGGGGCGCTGCCGCAGCGCCCAAAGTCACAAGCAAACCAAAGTGCCAAGCCAGCAAAAAGCGACCGAAAGCAACCAGAAGAAGCTATCAAAACCTAGCCAGCGAAATCCAACGAAATCCAGGAGAACCAAGAGCAAGCTATCAAAAGCCAAATCAATCCGCAACCACCCACACAAGCCACACAAGCTACCAAAAGCCACACAAGACACCTAAGGCCAACAGCCCCAGAAGCCGTCAAAAGCTAAAGTCGCTGGAAGCCAAAGCGAAAGAAGCCACGAGCAAGCTGAAGCCAGCAGAAGCCAGCAAAAAGCTGGGCAGCCCAATGCCAAATGACTTTAAAAAGAATGGTCCCAAAAAAGAACACATATATTCATTAATCCCCATGCCCCTGCATGTAAACTTATATAAACTATTTATACGTTCCCCCCCTGCAGAATCCCTGACTCCGCCTGGAGGCGATCGCCAGATCAAAAAGAGTCCCAAGCCCAAGACCTGACCGCCGCTGCCGAATGCCGCGTCGGATTCGCTCCGCTCCGGCTCGGTGGCGATGGCGGAAGGCGGAAGGTGATCGCCGTGGGCAGTTCATCGCCGGTCTCATTGCAAAAATCAAAGAACTGTGGATCATCTGAGGGCGGTCCCCATCGTGGGAGTGTTCGTCTCCGTCTTCGGTACGAACATCGTCTGGAATGGATCGTCATGAAACTGCACAATCGGCTGGGCTCACCTTCAGTCTCATCTGTGCCAATGCCACTTAGGGAGACCAGCAAATCTAGCCACACGCCACCGACCCACCGCCACCTTCACCCCAAGGGACTCGAAAAAGCGATGGGAGAGAGGCTTCGTCCATAAACGATATGTACCATCTTGGTCAGTTGTTCCAACCACCTCGGTCCACCGACGGGAATGATCAAACCAAACCGGCTGGCACCCATGGTTCGCTGACCCACATGACGAGTCTAAGGGCCTAGTTCGTTGCCTTTTTGGGGACCTCGAAACGAACACGCAGCTCGTCGACACGACGTCGTTCCGACCCGTCGGGACGTCGGGTCTCACTCGACGGACGCGGACCTGACGCCAAACAGCGGTCCAACGTCCTTCATTGGGAAGAGATGAAATGACGCGTCACTGGGAGGAAACGATATTAAATCGCATGGTGTTTCTTATGATTCAATATGGGTTATATGTTTTACATAGTCAAGTCAAACTGGGCCCAAGGGGGCCAGACTGGTCTATTTGCCAGAAAAAGGGGGGCATCTCTTGCAAGCTACACATCCAATATCGAGCTAAACATCTACCCCACTCATTGAGGGCAGCCCCGACACCACGTCCGAAACGGTGCCCTGTCCACACTGAGACCCCCAGACCGCCAGGGAAACGGCAGCAACTGCTTTGGGATCCACCTCCGTCCGTCCGTGATGAAACCGGGTTGGTGGCAAGACTGCAACGAAAACCCGAAATTAACACTGCACCAGGCGTTGCGCACTCATCAGTCAACCTCCCTGGACCCAGAAAAGCCCTGCCCACACATGTAAAGGATGATATGTTACATGTCTCTTTGATTGATGTTGATTGTATATGTATGCTATCTCCCTCTCCCATGTACCCACCGTTTTGGTGTGTTGTAGGTGACAACTGTAGAACAAGCCCATGAGACCCTGCCTTCGGCCCGTGTCGCGGGAGACGAGGGGTAGGAGACCCAGGGGATCGCAGCGGCAGACAAAACGCCGGCAGCAACAGAGGCAGACCAGTGGGGAGACAGAGGAGGAGACAAATGGGAAGAGACAAGGCAGCAGCAGCAGCAGCAGCAGCAGGAGCAAACAAAACGCTATATAGAATCAAACAGGACAGGCAGACAAGCGTCCTTTCCAAAACCCTTATTGAAAGGGACTCGTCAAAGTCATTGCTCCAAACAGTTGTTCAACGGGGTAGTACGCAAGCCCCTAAGGAAGTGAAGTATAAGAATTGTTGAGTGGGTGGGAATAATGCGCCAACCTGGAGCCCTATGAAAAGTATCGAACCATACTTTTCTATTGTTCTGCTATTGCTCCCCTTTAAGAGAGTCTTGCACAGCCTCTTCTGAGAAGGTGCTTGAAGCTTGGAACTCTGATCACCACCACCACCGCCGCCGCCGCCACCACCACGACGACCTGCGCCTGCCTGTCTTACTGCTACTGCTGCTACGACCACTACCACTACCACTACCACCACCACCACCACCACCACCGCTACTGCTCCTCTTACTAATTCCCAAATAGTTTTGGTGGGTTGACTCTGTTCAGACTCCCTGCGTTGTTTGCTTGGGGGGCTTTACTGGTAAAAATCGAACATTCGGCGTCTTCTCAATCCTCCACGCTGATATTTCTTCATTCGGCCTGTTTTCTTTTAGCCCTCTCTCTAAAGACCAGAGCAGTTGTCGCCTGGGTGACCCCATCCCAGTGGACGCTCTCTCGTCTGCTGACGCGCTCCCGTTCGAGTCGCGAGGCCAGGAGCCCCGTTCGTAGCATCTTGTTCCTAATAGTGATTGAATCCCATGCCAGGATTCACGATGTTTTCAGGTTTCACCCAAAAATATATTGATTCTCATGCCAGGGCTCAAGACTCAAGATGCAAGATTTCAAGAAAACGGTTCAGGATTCAAGATTCAATATTCACGATTTCAGGAAAAGGTTCTTGAAACTCCTGCTTGGCCTTGGATTAAAGAACACTTTCCTGAAATATCCTGTTCTGAACTCTTGAATCTTGAATCCCATTGCAACGCGTTGCAATGGGACTCAGTCACCAATGCGTTTCACTGTGGCACATGTTTCATGTGCATCCCCAGAGGCAAACAAAATCCAGCCCTCAAAACACAACAAATACATACAAATACCATTATGAGCCTCTCAAGAGTGGGTACACGCATGACATGCAAGCCCCCCGTTCCCTGTCAGTTCCAACGATGCACTTTGGTCGTTAACCACTTGCAAACCTCACACACACAAAACATCCTGACCCTTCTCATGCTGCAAATAGCAGGAACAGGAAAATCATCCTGACCCTTCTCTAGGTTGCTATGTTTTGGCTCAAAGGGTACTCGGTGACACTGGGTGCCACCTTCCACCCCTATCCACCCTTCGCTCGCCTTCGCCCACAGCGCACCTGGAACGGCGTCGCATCCGTTTGCCTTTACTGTGCACCGTTTGGATCCCGCGGCCAATCTCTCTCTCCGTTCGACGTGATAGTAATGGTTGCTAAGCCCTCGGATGGATGGCCAAAAGTAAAAAGGTCCGGGAAAGTGCCTATAGAACTCTGGACAAGCCTGACAAAAGATGTGGGTGTTCCTGCCATATATGTGCATGTGTATGTAGCCTAAGATGCCCAAAAACGGCGACTTGAGTTCGGAGTCCGAACCCTCACCATCTGGGTTGATTTGCGTCGGTGTCGGTGTCGCGTGCCGCTGTTGGCTTCCGAAATCGACCGGACGAATCCCATTGGAAGGGCGGCTTGGCTTGGCCTATGCCATGTCTCTTAAATGTTCTGCTTCTCTCGAGGCTTTCGGAGACGTGAATCGCTCACTGCACCTCACTCGCGTGTGAAGGCGAGTGACGTGCTCTGTTTCGGTCATCTTTGCTGCACTGCTTTGGGGGACAGGTGTCTTCGAAGCGTAAACAGCATTGAAACTGGTCCCTGATCTGACGCGAAAAGCAGGAGGTCCCTCGGCCCTTGCTCTTCTTTGGATCAAAGGAAAAGCACTCGTTGATTCCTTCACTTGATTCAAGTTGCTTCAGAATAGTTGATTCCTTCAACTTAGTTGATTCCTTCACTTACTTTCGGATCGGACAAATCCCCGATATTCGATTGGAACTTTGTATTACCCGATGGGACTCCGGAACCATCTCCAACTTCCGGTCCGGTTCCCAATGAGAACCGTCCTGAGACACCCACGACTCTCTTGTGTTCGAATCACGAGCCTAAAAGAATCGTGATGAAAAAGGGTGGATGGGCACCACCTGTTTCCATCGGATTTCACGAAACACATCGGGGCCGGGTGCATCCGTTGGACCCATCGCCCCATGGGCTTCTGGGGACTGGGCGCCCGAATTGGGAGTAACAGTTGGCGCCCAATCCTGTCACAGCGCCATCCCCAAAAACACCTCACAAGGTATGTGTGGATGTTACTTTGAGCATCTGAGTCGAGTCATATCCATCTATCTCTATCATCTCTGCTCACTCGCCCACTTCTTCGGCTCACTCCCACCTTCTGCCGCTGGTTCACCACTTTGCTGTCTCACCTGAAGGCACGAGGTCACGGACCAACACCCTCTGTCCACACCGGTGGCGAAAACAAAAAAGAAGGCTGAAGTAGGGGTCAGAACGCGTCAGAAGCCGGATCCATGCGGAACGAAGCCATCAGTGCATCGATACCGGTTCGCCTTCTTCGCTTGGAATGCGTTAACCTGTTTCTGTTCAAAGCGTGAGAAGCACGTCGTTTTGCTGAGCAAACCAGCACTCGTTGGGCCCAAGAGCTGAATGTTTGCCTAGATAGATCTCTCTCTCTCTCTCCGATTTCAGCATCCAATTGGGTGGGGAAGATGGACGAATTCGCCCACGACCCTATCTATTTCTGGGAAACGAGTCTCATTGTCACAAACCAACTGCTCGTCTTCCCGTCGCTGTTTTTCTTTCCGATGGTCCACAGTCGCCCGGATTGCCGGCTGCGCCCGTGGACTGTTCCAGTCAACCCTCGGCGCGGTGCTTCATGTCGTGGATGCGAATGTGAAACTGATTGAAGCGGAGTTCCTGCAGGCTGCTGGGCAGATCTTGCAGGCTCTGCTCAAAATAGTGACCAAGGGATAAGATCTTCAGGCTGCTGGGCAAATTGCTTAAGCTTTGGTTGAACTCAAGGCCAAAGGTCAACTCTTCCAGGCTGGGCAGTGTGACACCGGACATACTCTGGTCAAACGACTCTCCGAATGTGAGACACTTCAGGCTACTTGGCAATGTAGCCTCCTCCAAGCTCTGGTTGAACCTAGTACCGAAGGTCAAAGTCTGGAGGTTGCTTGGCAGGGTGACACTTGCTATGCTCTGGTTAAATTCCTGTCCGAAGGTCAATGTCTGCAGGCTGCTTGGCAAGATCACGGCTTCCAGGCTTTGGTTGAACTCCCAGCCAAAGGTCAAGTCCTGCAAATTACCCGGTAGCCTGACACCCTCCAGGCTTTGGTTGAACGTCCAGCCGAAGGTCAAAGCCTGTAAGCTAGTTGGCAGTACGACAGCGGCCAGGCTCTGGTTGAACTCCGATCCAAAGGTCAAAGTCAGCAGGCCACTTGGCAAGGCGACATCTGTCAAACTTTGGTTGAATTCACTTCCGAAGATCAAAGTCTGCAAGCTGTTAGGCAAGCTAACACCTGCCAAGCTCTGGTTGAAGAGATTGCCAAAGGTCAGACTCCGGAGGCTGGTAAGCTGCATTAGATTTTCCAAGCTTTGATCAAATCCATCAAATCCAAAGCACAAGTTCAATTCAAGCAGGCCACTGGGCAGTGTGGCACCTTCCGTGCTTTCATTGAAACAAGACCCAAAGGATAAGGTCTGCAGGGTCTTCGGCAAAACACCTTCCAGGCTCTGGTTGTAAGCATCCCCGAAGCTCAAGGTCTGCACGCTAGCTGGTAAGGTGTCTTTTTCCAAGCCCTGATTGAACTCATTGCCGAAGGTCAACGTGTGCAAGCTGCTGGGGAGCTTGACATTCAACAAGCTCTGGTTGAAGTGACAGCCGAAAATCAGCGTCTGAAGGCTGCAAGGCAGTGTCACATCATCCAAACTCTGATCAAACTCATCACCGAAAGTCAAAGACTGCAAGCTGCTAGGCAAATGAACACCTGCCAGGCTCTGATTAAAAGAGCCCACGAAGGTCAAAGTCTGCAAGCTGCTTGGCAGCGTAACACCTGCTAGGCTCTGGTTGAAGCAATCACTGAAGGTCAAGATCTGCAGGCTGCTTGGGAGCATGGTCCCTTCCAAGCTCTTGTTGAACTCGTAGCCGAAGGTCAAATTCAGCAGTCCAGATGGCAGCGTGACACCTGCCAAGCTTTGGTTAAAATCCCAGCCGAACGTCAAGGTCTGCAAGCTGCTGGGGAGCCTGGTGCGTTGAGGACGGGACAAGAGAAAGGCAGAATCGCCACTCCCAGGGGTACCGTTGAAGATGAAATAAAGCTACAGGCTTTTTGTAGAAACAGATGTCAGATGAGGATGGTTGGTTCCTTATCCAATGTTGATGGTCAAGCAATTGAACCTTATGAACCCCCATATTTCTTTTCAGAAGTATGAGTGAAGTTGCCTTTCAAATTGCCTTTGCCCATTTCCGAAACACCCTTTCAAGGATCAAGCTGAAAAAGCACACAAACTGCGTGAAAATGGCTAGCAAACTATAGGAAAACCCTGCCTCACATCTTGCATGCTCTGGTCAAAATGACAACCGAAGATCAAGCTCTGTAAACTGCTTGGCAGCACAAGATCTGCGATGCTCTGGTTGAAATCCGAATCGAAGCTTAGAGTCTGCAAGCTGCTTGGCAGCTGGACCCCTGCCATTCTCTGATTGAAGCGGAAGCCGAATTCCAAAGTCCTGGCACAACAGAGACACTTGGAGACCGAGAGAAAGAATCATCGTCCCAAGTGATCCATTGAAGCTGCAGGTTGAAGGACATACCAAAAAATCATGACAAGGTGAGTCAAGAACCCTGAAAAAGGTTTCACTTGGCAGGAGCTGGCGAACCTCTTCCAGGCGTCTTGGAAACAACACCCGGTTCTTCCCGGTTTTGTGAGGGAAGCGCCTTTGGGGGGCCGTGACGGATGCTCCAGGTGAGATGGTCAACTAAGTCAAACCCTTCCATCTACTTACTCAGTATACTTAGTCATGCTGGAGCAGATTGGAGACTGGACAACTCAATTATCAGTGGGCAAAAGAGCAACAATATATCCCAAAAGACCCGTTTTCTTCCTACCTCAGGATGGTCTTAACATGCCTCAACTCTACAATCCCAGACTTGACTTTGCTGATCAATTTCCATTGGGGAAACAAAAGACCAAACAACAATCCCTTTCCAAAAGGCCAGGCAAGAGTCTGCAGGCTGTCAGGAAGCACGAGATCCTCCACACTCTGGTTAAACTCGGTTCCAAATGACAAGGTCTCAAGGCCATTGGGTAGAAGGACCCCTTCCACGCTCACATCGAATTCGGACTCAATCGATAAACTCTGCAGACATCGTGGAAACCTGCATCATCCAGACAACGTGGTGGCGGCGGCTGTGGTGATCAAATCGCGTTGTTTCGTCTGGCACATCGTCTTTGGTGTGGCAGATCTGTCTTTTTTGGTTCGGTCTGGAAAATGATCTAACAACGATTGTGTTCATGGATGTTCATGGTCTTTTTCCCTCTTTCGACCACCGCTGCGTAACGATGAGTCGAAGTCGAACCGAGCGTCTTCCCATGAACCAACCCTCGTTTCTCCGTCCTTTCCGTGACGTCTTCGACTCTTCGACGGCCGATCGACGGCCGATCGACCCTTGGCGCCTGAAGCCCTTCAACGGTCGATCGAAGCGAGCGCCCAGGGTCAACTGGGCCACGGCATCCACGGCGTCGTCCACGGCGTCGTCCACGGCCTCGTCCACGGCGTCGGCGTCGACCAAGCGCTGCAGGCTCACGGCAGCCTCACCGGCACCCACTGGCTGAGTCACATAGCCTGAGATGGATCGAGCAAAAAGAGAGGAACACGACACGTTTCTAAAGAGGATTGTTGGGTCAAGCAACACGATCATTCTTGCCATAGACCGAGTTCGATCGTTCTTATGTCTTATTCGAGCGTGCATAGAACTCGATAATGCGGATACTCCCACTTACACAGCATGGCCTTTCCAAAGTATACTTATTAGCAAGCATTTAAGAGCCATGTGGGTTCAGAAAGTGAGGAATATGACGAGCTCCTCTGCCGTATTGATGCCACGTCGGGAGGGAGCTACATGTTTCACGTTTGCTGTCTAAGAGTAACTATATATATATACATATATATACACACCTCAAAAGAGGTAGAACACAAAACAAGACGAACTTCGGGTACATACATGACACGACCTTCAAGCTAATATCCCCCTGTCATGTGCAAGTCGGCAAACATTGGCAAACCAATCAACTTGAAAAAATTGAGAAGTGCTCCTCAATTGGCGTGAGGAGCTCACCGTTTCATCCGAAACTTGTGGTAGAAGCTCCTGGGCGTCATGGAGTAGCTGGCCGCCAGATGACAGCACAAGTCTTTTGCCCGATCGGCCTGGCTGCAGGCCAAGTTTGAGGGCCGCCATCTGGCGAAAAGCTCTCACCTTGGATTGGGAAAAGACCAGAAACTGCCAGGAACAGGCTTCAGAAACTGCTTGACATTGATGTTTATGTTAAAACACATGACATCACATGACTAGATAGCAAGCAATTTGCAGGTTTCGGGAACTCCCAGCAAAACCATTCTCGCTTCAGGAGTTCTTAGCATCAAATGTTTCAACAAGCTCCCCTGTCGCTTTCAACAGTTCTCCTCAGTCTGTCGCTGTCCAGGTCACTGTCATGTGGTTCTCCATGTCGATCTGCACGCTGGAGCCATCAAGGCCCACCAGCGCGATCCGCGTCTTCGACGTCGAAGAAGAGGCTGCAAGGAGCCTGGGGCGTGAAAAAAGGGGCACGGGACGAGTCCCGAGTCCCATACAGAAAACATAAGATGATCATAGATGAACTTGTTTCTAATAGCTTCTTGTTACTACTAGTAAGGCACTTGTTTCTAGTAGCGATGCACTTGTTTCTAATAGCTTCTTGTTACTACTAGTAAGGCACTTGTTACTAGAAGCGTGGCACTTGTTTCTAATAGCTTCTTGTTACTACGATGATCATAGATAATATGAACCCCAAGCACTGCAAAAGATTTCTCTAACCATCCCTTGAATAAACCCTTCCCATTATATAATTAGCGCCGCTCAAAAGATCGACCCAAAAGAAGACACACGAAAATGTCGATGAATTAATATGAGCGATCGCCAAAACCGGTGATAAAATTTGGTAAACTCCATATGTTGGTATCGCCTTCGGGGGTTCACTATATCCCTTTACGGGTTTTTAGGAAGATTTCAATGAAATAGTTCCTCTCACATAAAGATTTCTGCACAGACCCTTTAGGTCGTTGCTCATATGATGCCCAGCCCAAGCCAAACAAGACCTTGTCCATCCTTGACCCAAAAATTCACATGGATCCGCGAAAAAAATAAAAAAGAAAAACAACCTGGGACCTGGCTTGAAAGGAATGTATCTTGTCTTCCATTTCTTCCATTTTGCCATGCATTCCTCTCTGTCAGAGACTAAATCCCAGCTGCTCCCTGGCCCTCGGCAGCAGTCGCTTCGCTCGCTCCACGTCCTCCTCGATCCACCGCCGCAGCGCGGCGTCCTCTTCGGCGGCGCTGGCACCGGCGCCCATGTGGGGCGCTGGCACCGCGTCGCGTGGACCGTGCCGAGAGTCGCTGAGGCTTCAACCAGGTTTGCACTTAGGTTGAAGGCCATCGCGTTTTGAGGTTGAAGGCCTTGAAGGCCATTGCCCTGTCGATTTTTCAGCTCTGATCTGATCATGTCCGATCTGATGCTGCGCTGCGGTGTATCGATGCTTTGGAGCAAACCTTATCCCACAAAAATAACATCGATGAACATGTTCATGAAAAACTGCCTCGGACCGGGGTCAGCAGGTAGTCTTATAGTTATGCGTGTTGGGAAGGAGCAATGGAGTCGCGATTTTCGTGAACATCAAGGAGCTATCATGAACTCATTTGCTTGAAGAGTGGGGGGAGGTTCCAAAAACACACATTTCCTGGAAGAGATTCAATCACTTCACTCATGTCACTCACGCCCCTCCAAACCACGGCGCCCTTCACGGCGCTTTCGTGTGAAGACCGGACCGCCCCGGGCCGGACCGGTCGGCGCGTCCGGGCCTCGCCGGGACCTACGGCGTGGGCGAAGGTTCCCCCCAAGCGGAGCAACAGCGAAACGTTGAACCCCACGGCGATCCTTGGAGGGATGATGATGGGCCTCTACCAAGAGTTCCGTCCAATGCAAAGGAAAAGAACATCAATATGCAACATATATAATATATAATATATATAGTTATAAACAGCTTCCAACACCGACCTCCGCTGCTCCAGCCAAAGACAATGCGTGCTGGAAGAACTGGTGGCAAAACGGTGCCACCGCTCTGATGAAAGAGCCCACGGATGGAGTGAACCTGTATGGAACAGTGTGCCCACTCTCCAAACAGTTTCGTTTCTTGAAGCCGAAGAAAACGGGAAAGAAGAAGGATTCAATCTCAACGTGGTCCTCCTACTACGATATACTACGATCATGATCCTTGCATCACCTTATCCCGGATCCTGAACAAGGTCCCTGTCCCTCCACCCATCACCGGTCATCACCTGTCCCTCCCCGCTGCACCTGTCGCTGACTGATCTCGGCTCGGCTCGCCCTACGGGGGTCCATTTTGCTCATGGATGCGGAGGGTCCGGAGCCATGCTTCCTCTTTTGGATGAAACACGGGGGACTCAACAGCGTCCGGAGCCAGCTTAGCTGGCTGTTCTTTTAGTAAATCCAAGGGAAACACGAAGAAGAAACACGGCAAAGCACGTATAGAGCCTTTGGCCTTGTGAGACTTAGTGGGGCTTACTTGGTGTCCAAGCTTGGGGCGGTGACTGCGCCAAGATCAGCTTACTCATGCATGTGTACGTAGCAACTTCAAGCTTCCGAGGGCGCCTGCGCGGACATCTTGAGGGATGGATCAGCGGTCACCTGCGCTGATGAAGAGAAGGGTGCAACAAGCTCACCACAACACACAAGATCAGCTGAAGGTGCAAACAAGTTCAGAGTACCTCATTTGGATCTCGATCTTTTAGATCAACGAAGGCTCCCTGCCCACCGCGGTCGGGTCGTCGCCTTCCTTTTGGGCTCTCGCCTTCACGCACGGTGTCGACCGTCCCGTCGAAAAATCAGAAGCCAAGGAGCCAGCTGCTCCCGAAGCCTGCAAACTCTTCTGCGTTGAGCTGCCTTGAAATGATTTGACATCAGACATGGACGCGCAAACTTTGGAGGCGCATAGTTTGCGCCATCGTAGAGTCCGTCGAGCTGAATTCATGCAGACTGCTTGGCAGTGTGATGCTTGACAACCTCTGAAATCCAGCCTTCCTCGTCAGAACTCCCAAGGTTAAACTCTGCAGGTTGTCTGGAAGCAAGACGCTCTCCAGGCTCTGGTCAAAAGAATCGCCGAAGGTCAACGTCTGCAGGCTGCTTGGCAAGGTGACACCTTGCAAGCTCTGGTTGAAAAATTTGCCGAAGGTCAAACTCTGGAGGCTGCTTGGCAAGGTGACATCTTTCAAGCTTTGGTTGAACAAGCAACCGAAGGTCAAAGTCTCCAGGCAGCTTGGCAAGGTGACACCTTCCAAGCTCTGGTTGAAACATTTGCCGAAGGTCAAACTCTGGAGGCTGCTTAGCAAGGTGACACCTTCCAAGCTCTGGTTGAACTTCGTGCCAAAGGTCAACATATGCAGGCTGCTTGGCAAGGTGACACCTTCCAAGCTCTTATCAAACTCCTTGCCGAAGGTCAATGTTTGAAGGCTACTTGGCAGCCTCACACCTTCCAAGCTCTGGTCGAACTCCCGCCCGAAGGTCAAAGTCTGCAGACTGCTTGGCAGGGTGACACCTTCCAAGCCCTGGTTAAACTCCTTGCCGAAGGTCAATTTCTGCAGGCAGCTTGGCCATGTGACACCTTCTAAGCTCTGGTCAAACTGACAGTCTTCCTCGAATGTCAAAGTCTGCAAGCTGCTTGGCCATGTGAGACCATTCAAGCTTTTGTTAAAGAGCAAGCCAAAAGTCAAAGTGTGAAGGCTGTCTGGCAGGGTAACACCTTGTAGGCTTTGATCAAAGTCGCGACCAAACTTCAAAACCTTCAGACTCCTTGGCAGCCAAACACCTTCTAAACTCTGGTCGAGCTTGCTCAACATCAAGGTCTGCAGGCTGCTGGGAAACATGATGCCTTCCAATGTGTTGTAAACGTTGCCTAGGATCAAAGTCTGGAGGCCTTCCGGAAGCGTGAGGCCTTCTAAGCTTTGGTCAAACTTTTCGCTGTCTAGGGTTAAAGTCTGAAGACCGCTTGGCAAGGTCACGCCTTCCAAACTTTGGTTGAAGCTTGCACCGAAGGTCAAGGTCTGCAGACCTGATGGCAGAGTCACATCTTCCAAGCTTTGGTTGAACTTGTAGTCAAAGGTCAAGGTCTGCAGACTGCTGGGCAGCATCACCCCTGACAAGCTTTGATTATAGGCCCACCCAAATTCCAAGGTCTGCAGGTTGCTTGGTAAGGTGACATGATTCAAACTCTGGTCAAATGCCTCACCCAAGATCAAGATCTTCAAATTCTCTGGCAGCACTACGCCTTCCAAACCTCGGCGGTACTCCAGGCCAAAGGTTAATGCTTGAAGACTAATTGGTAAATCAGTCCATCTCAAACTCTGATTGAACTCCTCGCCAAAAGTCAATGTTTGAAGGCTACTTGGCAGCCTCACACCTTCTAAACTCTGGTTGAATCGTTCCCCAAAGGTGAGCTCCAGGAGAGTCTCTGGCAGACTGACATCTACCAAGCTCTGGTTGAAGTCGTAACCAAAAGTCAAACTCTCCAAATGATTTGGCATCGAAAACCCCACCAGCGTCTGGTTGAACTGGAGGCCAAAGGTCAGGGAAGAAATTGCATCTGTCACGGCCGTGTGCGAGTGATCTCTTGTCCTCTCTGCCAGGGCCCGCTCCAAAGCGATTGCTGCTTCCAGTGCACACACCTGCCGAACGACATAGGAAATCTCTCTGCCGATCACTTTGTGCTGCAGGGGCACGGAGGAATCCTCGAGGAGTTTGCCGCCAGAAGACAGAAGGAGTCTTCGACCAGCTTGCATACCAATTCTCGTTGCAATCATCTTTGAAAAGTCGCCCACCTGAGGCAAAGAGATCACTGCACTTCATGTGAAAGGGGGAAAGCCTGGCACCCTCTACCTCTGGGGCAAAAACAAAAAGGGATTGGTAACTCGTGCCTCTGATGATCAAATGTGGACCTCCACAATACTTCAGGTAGCATCACCAGGGAGCAAGCTTTCTGCCAAGTAAACCCGATTGGACAGGATAAGCAAAAAAACTATCGGTGGTTTGCCGGTGGTTTGTCCGAGGACTTCGTCTGTGAAAGTGCTCTTTGCCCTAACAACTTCTTGGAGGAAAGATCTCAGAAATGCTTCAAGCTCGATCTCAGTTTCTCCGCTTGAACGAAAATATACGAAACGCGTCGTCTTTCAAACACTCCAATTTGATGTTCCGGCCACTGTGATGCTGCCATCGACCTCCACCTCGAAGGACGAGCCATCGAGGCCGCTGATCTTCCACGTGCGCGGGGAACCCCGAAACTCTGCCACGAGCCTTGGGTGTGCTGTTCCCCCATGCAGCTTCGGGACACAAGGGTACCCCTGGGCTGGGAAGATCAAAAGAAGCATGGCATGTTTTGTTTGTGTTAGGAATTGGTGACTTGGAAACCGGCGCATCTGTTTTGTTTACTGTAGCCTAGAGGAAGATCCTGGATGAACAGTCTGTAATTAGTGGTGATGCACTGGCTGTGTGACTGCAAAACCACCGGCTGTGTGACTGCATGGTTCCAAATCCCTAAAAAGAGCGGCTGCTCGTGAATCAAGACTCGATGCCATGTACGACTCAGCGCGTGATCTAGTTGCAACTCTTTGGCCCTGGGTTCTGTGCAAAATGACCTCTTCCATGTGTCTCATCCATTTTTTCAGTAAATCCGCCTTTCGTCCCCCAAACCCCCTGCGTTTCTGTCGCGTCCACGCAGCGCGTCGGCCCGGTGCAGCAGCCACTCGGCCCGCTCCACGTCCTCGGCGATGAAGTGCCGCAGCGCCGCCTCGGCGTCCGCCGCGGCGGCGGCGGAGGCGCTCGGCGAGGCGAGGGCACTGGCAGCGGCACCCATTGGGTGAAACGGTGAAACCAAAGAACTCACCGCTATAGCGCCGCGATAGCGCCTCTAGTGGCAAGATAACTCATGTAAATCACCATGTGTTGTTCATTGGAAGCAGAGTCCTGTGTATAGATGGATGCTTGTAACTGAGAGAGGTTTACTGCATGGTTGACCTCAGCCGTTGCGTTTCTGTCCCGTGACCGTGCCGGGCGGGACGTGATGAGCAAGTCGAAGACACAAAGCATCCACCAACACTCCGACGTCGTCTCAATGACGTAAAGTATGGAGACAATGAGTAGTGAGTGGATGCTAGTCGTAGTAGTTCGTAGACATGTTGAAGGTGCTGGTGCTGGAATTTCGTTGTAACTACCGTGACATGGATGTACCATCATCTACCCTGATGCAACATGGCGCAAGTCGTCCGCTTATCGAACAAAGCTGCTCTGACTCTGGACCGGGCCGTGTCCCGAGGACGGTCGGGTCTCCGCCGCATCGGGTCTCCCTGGTGAGAACAAAGGTGAAACACCATGAATGTCAGGATGAAGCCGCAAATGCTACATCTTGTAACAAGTGCATCGCTATTAGCAGCTAGAAGCTACTAGCAACAAAG